GTTCAGGGTGTAGGGTTAAGGGTTTCGGGTTTTAGGGTTTAGGGGTTTTGGGGTTTAGGGTGGAGGGTTTAGGATTGAGGGTTTAGGGTTTAGGGTTTAGGGTTAAGGGAATAGGGTTTAGGAGTTTAAGGTTTAGGGTCTCGGGTTGAGAGTAGGGTTCAGGGTTTATAGAGGATCTGTTTATCCCTGGGCCCGTCGGCTCGAAGGGGGGATGTCAGACGAAAGTAGGTTTCGAACCCTCCAAATCCTAAACCTCCTAAACCCATGTTCCAACTTTCTAGGCTTCGCTGTAGGGCTTCGGGCTTAGGGTTCAGGATTTAGGGTCTAAGGTCTGGGTTCCACGTGATGTTGCTATCATTGTTGGTTTGAGGTGTAAGGATGATATGATAAAACGAAACCAGTAGTTTCATAGTGTTTCTCAACAACTCACCACTATGCCCGTGCAACCCCAACACCGTGACAGGCATACCCCGGACCACTCCAGGACCCATGGGTTTTTTAGACAAATGCAGCCGGACTTAGATTGTCAGAGAGGCCATTTAGCTATGCAGTGGGCTATGGTGGGCTATGCAGCGGGTTACTGTTCCCATGTCAATGTAGAACCTTATAGTACCCCTATGACCCAGACACCTACTGCATCCCAGTTTACGATCTTATGAACTGAGGCTTCGTGCTTAACTCCAGAGCTCTTGGAAGGGCTTAAAGACATCTGGGATGGTAGAGCTCAGATCGTGTGCTTCAAGCTTCATCCGGACGTGTGCGGTAGTTTAAGGTTTAAGACGCTAAACCCTAGATCCTAAAACACTAAACCTCTAGTGGGGCTTGGGGTTTAGGTGTAGCGTTGAAAGTTTAGGGTTTAGGGCTTTGGGTTTTAGGATCTGGGATTTAGGATTTGGAGGGTTTGGGGTTTGAGGATTTAGGGTGTGTGCCGCAGACCATCCTGAAACACAAGCTTTAGGGTTTTAGAGTCTAGGGTTCGTAGCCTGCGGTCTGAAACCTGGCTACACGGGGCTCCGTGCAGGGAACAAGATACAGTGAACCCCCCGACAATTGGAAGATGGGGATCAGGATGGTTCCCGCTGAGATTGCCTCTACGTACTTGACCTCAAGGGCTTGAGGGCACGGAAGATTCAGAAAATCTGACTCAGCTGGGAATTCGCTGCCGCTGGCTTCCCTAACCCCTAAACCCTAAACTTAAACCCTAAACCCTAAACCCTAAACCCTAAACCCTAAACCCTAAACCCTAAACCCTAAACCCTAAACCCTAAACCCTAAAGGATCTGCGGGCCCGAGGCCACAGTCTCCTCCTCCGACGCAGCTCGCGGGTCTTGGCCTGGACGGCCGTGCAGTGCGGGAGCCAACGGTCCCTTGCAACCTGGCTTCCCATATGGGTACTTTTAGGGTTTAGGGTTTAGGGTTTAGGGTTTAGGGTTTAGGGTTATAGTTCTCTAAATTAGGGTCCCTTTTTAGGTCCCCGGATATACTACGGCACCCTTCTAAAAAGGACCCCACAAAGGGACCCTAATTTAGAAAACTACCCATATCCCAGGGTGCTGAAGATACTTTTCGCCGAAAGGCCCTAAACCCTAAACCCTAAACCCTAAACCATCTTATCGGAGGCTTCGGTCGCCCGGACAGGACAGCTCGAAAGCCATACCTTAAGAACCCAAAACCCACTTTTTTGTAGGTTCTTATTATAAACCCACATATGGGATTTATAGGGACCCTACTAAAAAGTAGGTTTTGGGTTCTTAAGGTAGGGACCCTAATTTTAGCGAACTGCCCGTGGTGACACCGAAGGGGCAGGCTCGCCAGGCGAACCGAAAGGGGTTTAGGGGTTTAGGGGTTTAGGGGTTTAGGGGTGTAGTGGTTTAGGGGTTTAGGGTTTAGGGGTTTAGGGTTTAGGGGTTTAGGGTTTAGGGGTTTAGGGGTTTAGGGTTTAGGGTAACTACACCCCTTGGGTTCCAAATCCAATGGAGCCCAATTCTTAGAAGCTCTAATGTAGGGGCCTCAACAACTAGAATGAGGTTTGGGGGGCATATTATACTATAATTAAGTATAATTATGAAGGAACCCCCTAAAATAGTATAGATAATTATTCAGGCCCCCTTTATTAATTCCTAAGAGCCGCTTGCTTGGTCTCCCGACTCCTTTTTCCACATCTCGTCGATGAGCTCGAAGGCCTTGTGCCCTGCCGCGCCTGCACGTGGGTAGTTGTCTAAATTAGGGTCCCTTTTAGGTCCCCAATATAGTACGGCACCTTTATAACCCTAAACCCTAAACCCTAAACCGAAAACCCTAAAAACTAAACCCTAAACCCTAAACCCTAAACCCTAAGAAGGACCCTAATTTAGAGAACTACCCACGTCGAGGCTCCGAGCTGGGTTTGGGGTTTCAGGTGTCAGGCCTCGGGTCAGGTTTGGGCTTTGGGGTTCTGGGATGCTAAAGGTTTAAGGTTTAGGGGTTTAGGTTTTAGGGTTTAGGGTTTAAGGGTTTAGGTTTTAGGGTTTAGGGTTTAGGGTTTGGGGTTTAGGGTTTGGGGTTTAGGTTTAAGGTTTCGCGTTTTTTTTGCTAAGTTTGGGGTTTGGGAGTTTGCCTTTTTCGTTAGCACCCTTTCGGGTTCGCAGGCTTGACCGGGAAGACCGTAGCCACGGCTCTTGCTTGCATCAGAAGCCGTAAATAGCTGCTACCTTTCATACCTAGAGTAGTTTCATTCCTGTTCAAGTTTCTTGTACAGTTCTCCCAGGCACTCTTCTAATTCTGCACTGTTGGAAACTAAGCAGTCAGGCTCCTATATTAAGCTTCTTGCGAGCTCCGAGGACTTCCAATTTGCAACAAAGCCGTAAACTAGGGTTTAGGGTTTAGCGCATCAACTAACGGAAGACATTGGCTTCGGATATCCTCGAAGAAGGAAGCAGTTCGTAACCTTCACAAGTCCTTAGTTCATGAAGACAGAAAGCTTAAAAGGTGTATGAAGGCCCCTCTGAACTTCTGGGATCTGGAAGCTGATAATATGGCTGGGAGGAAGGGTCATCAGCGCCTAGTTGGAAGTCTCGTCTGCAACCCTGGACCAGAACCAACTACCGCCATTAAACCTTAAACCCCACTTCCGGAGGGTTTGAGGTGTGAGGCTTTGGGTTTCCCATATAACCATGGCATAAAACGGCACTATACCCTCGGTTCAAGATCACCCCCTTCCATTCCAAGCCCTGCAGCTCTGAATCAAGAACATGCGGCTTGGGTTGGTTCTAAAGGATGCTGGCTGGAAGCACTATAAAACCCAGTGCGCTTTCTCCAGGGTTCGGGTTACCCTTGAGCTCACCTTTCTTGTCCTGCTCACCTTGAGTATTCTGCCAAAACCTAAACCACGGTTTGGCAGTGTGAAAATGTACGAGACCCGTATACATGTCCGAAACTGTAGCATCCTTGCAGCATATACGGATGCATAGATTCAGGACTCAGAATTTTCTGAAACCGCGATTTCATCCCCAAACCCGCCTCGCTTGCAAGCGACTAAGGCGAGTGCGTAGCACCCAACATCTGGCTGCACGCCGTAACTTCGCATCTCCTGGCACAAGCACTGCTTTTTTGGGGGCCGGGGGGGGGTGCATTGGACTTTCTCTACTCTCTACCGCGTCCTGCCCTGTTTCAGGCCTGCACTGAAAATACAGAACGGCACACATCTCAAATCCGGGTTTAGCGTTTAGGTTTTAGGGTTTAGGCTTTGGGTTTAGGGTTCAGGGTTTAGGGTTCAGGGTTTAGGGTTTAAGGTCCAAACTCAAGGGCTCCTAGGGCCTAGGGCCTGGGGCTTGCAAGGTTCGAGCTTAGTGGTTTCAATTAGGGCTTAGGGATTTTTGGGGTTTGGGGTTTAGGGTTTAGGGTTTGGGGTTTGGGGCTTGGGGCTTCTAGTGCAACCTAAGACCTAAACTATCATACGGCTGATGATAAAAATCCTGCATCACCCATCGTCATCAGCAATATACCGTAATTCCCCTAGTTTTGCGCACTTAATGCAGGATTTGTATCATCAACAGTACCCTAAGCCCTGAACCCAAAATCCCAAGAGCTTGGACCATGAACAACTCGAGCAAGGCTTGACGGGTGGAGAATATTAATGTCGGGGCCTTAGTTTTTAGAATAGGGCTTTGGGCTATTCATACTATAATATAAGCATAATAAGGAGCCCGCAAATTCGTATAGGTAATTATGAAGGCCCCTATATTACTCCCTAAACCCTAAAAAGCCCTAAACCCTGCAGCAGCCAACCTGCAACCCGGGCCCTGCGCCCCAAGACCCCAATCCCTAATTTCCTGAACCGCTAAACCCAAAACCCTCAACCCCAAAACCCCAAAACCCAAAACTCCTACTGTAATTAAACCCACAACCCACAACCCCTAATGCGGCCCTACACCCCTAAACCCGAAACCCAAAACCCCAAGCCCCACTCTCTACGTTCCGTTTAGGGCTTACGGTGCACGGCGGAAGGGTCGCCTGGAGGAGAGATGTGGCCCGCTGCCAGTCATAGGAGTCAGCGGCTTCTTGTAGAAGCGTCTGGGAGAATGAACGAAGGTTTGCTATGGAAAATTGAAATAAATTAGGTTTAGGTTTAGGGCTTATGTATGTTTGCGAATTTGTGTTTGGGGTTTAGGGTTCAGGATTTAGGAATGATTTGGGTCTAAAGGATACTGTGACGGGCTGCTAGAAAGGGTTACTCTAACAGTTACGATGAGGCCTCCTATACGGGGTGACGTATACAAGGGCCCTAATAATTAGAATAGGGCGTTGGGGCCCATTATACTATAATTATAATAAGGAATCTGCAGAATATTATAGGTAATTGTTTAGGCCCCTATAGTACCAAGTAGAACCCAAAGGGTCCCAGGTACTGTTATGGGGGATACTTCCCCAAATCATAATAGTGATTCCTAAGATAGAAACCTTACAGTCTACCATATAAAACCTTAGGACCCTAAACCCTAAACCCTAAACCCTAAACCCTAAACCCTAAGGGTTACCAACAAAACGGTGGAGCCTTTCTCCTCGATGCCAACCCTAAAACCCCCAGACTGAAAGTCTTAAAGCAGCGAAGCGGCGAACTGCCTCAGAGCTTACACGGTTTGGGGTTTTAGGGTTTCGGGTTTAGGGTTTGGGGTTTAGGGTTTGGGGCTTGGGGTTTAGGGTTTAGGGTTTGGGGTTTGGGAAGATCCCATATGCATAGAACAGCCGCGTCTTACATGTTGAGGGTTCGGGGTTGGGGTTCAGGGTCTTACGGTGAAGCTGCGCACACCGCAGGCCAAGGAAAACAAAGCAAACAAACACAACTTTTGGGTAGGTCTCTACAATAGGGTCCGTTATAGTACGGCACCCTTATGAAAAGGACCCTAAAAAGGACCCCAATTTAGAGAACTACCCATGTGCTCGGAAGTGTATTCAAGGCAGAGGCCTCCGCCAGAACTCCGGAAACCAGAAGCCAGCAACCTAAGAGCCCCCACCTAGAAACTCTGCAGGGGAGGGTAGTTTAGGGTTTAGGGTTTAGGGTTTAGGGTTTAGGATTTAGGGTTTAGGGTTTAGGGCTTAGGGTTTAGGGTTTAGGGCTTAGGCCCAAAATCGCGAAGCCTAACACCCCAAAACACTCGAGCCTCAAAAGCCGTAAAGCCACGTGCTCCCTGGACCCTCGACTGTGAAGCCCCCACAGCCGCATCCCGAAACCCGAACTGTTAGACCAACATTTTCGAATCCCAGACACCCACCTGAACTGTTTAGGGGTTTAGGGGTTTAGGGTTTAGGGTTTAGGGTTTAGGGTTTTTTTTTCACGGTGGTAGCCTCAACGAGGGGATATGTTGCACTACTTTAGGCCGAAGTGTAGGTGTCTTTTTGACTGCGAACCCCATGCTGACAGCCCAGCAGCATGAGGCTCTGGCCATGTACCCGTCAATATCCCAGGCATCCGAATTCAGGAAATCATACCTCTCAGCAGCGGATATGTCTGGAATTAATATATGTATGCTTGTTGCCATTGTAGTTCTTGGCACGTGGTCCTTACTGTTATCATGCATAGCCTTATTGATACTAAGAGGATGCGTAGCTAGCATAACTATGCATACTGGGAGTTATTATTGGTCTCGTGCGCTTGGATTTGTCTGGCATTGTCGTGGTCTTACAGCTTAGGGTCTAGAGGTTCGGAGTGCATGGATTTGGAGCGTGAGTCCTTGCAGGCTTGGGGTTTCGAGGTGGTATAATTAGCGATTTAGGGATTAGCGTTTAGGGTTTCGAGGTGGTGGCAGGTGTAGCAAGTGCCGTTCTGTTCCATGTTGCAAACCCTCACACTAACGGCCCACGTTTTGACCCTAGAGTATCCATGTAGAAAACCGGTTTATGGCCTAAGTATATACTGGCCTAGGGCCTGGGCCTAGGGCTTGTTCGGGGCTTGAGGGATTTACAGGGTCCAAACCCTAAGCCCTAAACCCTAAACCCTAAAGGGTTGAAGGATGGGTTTAGGGCTTCTTAGCTTGAAGCCAAGGATTTCGGGTCTACTTCGTGGATCTCGGGACTTAAACCACCCGAAGCCCTAAACCCTGTTTAGTAACCTGGGCAGTCAATAAGAGGACTATATATTATAACAATACTATAAAAAAGCTCCCAAAACCCTATTCTACTTATTAAGGCCCCTACATTAAGGTTTAGGGGTTTTGGGATGGCTTGGGGTGGTTTGGGGTGGGGGGTTCAGGCTTATGGAGTCTTGGGAACCTTTTCGTAGGGATCACAAGCAAACTAGGTATCCATATAATTCATAATCCTCAACCCTAAACCCTAAACCTTAAGGTCTTGTGGTCTAAAACAACAAAGGATTTTCTTGCAAGCCCTGGCGGGACACAAGGGGAGCTAAGCACACGTGTTCCTGGGCAGCGGGCTCAGGGTATTGCCAGTAGTCGAGGTCATCGGCCTTCCACGAGCTTGGGCACAAAAAGGCTTTTAGGTTTTGGGCCTCCGTTTAAGGCTCGGGGTCTAAGGCTCTAAGTTTTAGGCTTCCGCTTAGGGAAACCACTGAACCCTAAGGCCTATAAACCCTAAACCCTAAACCTAACCACTGCTTGTGAAACTTCATAAAGCCGTGTCAGAACGACCTAACTTGGGGACCTGAGTTATCGACGGGTGGGACCAGCACCCAAAACACCCAAGCTTCAACCCAAAATGGGCCACCCAAGTGGCCCCAGCGACCCGGGGAGGCCATCCAGGCCGGTGCTGGAGGGGGGGGAGGAGACCTGGTGAAAAACGTAACTTTGGGGGCCTCTGAAGGCGTCTGAAGGGCTCAACTTCCGACGCAAGAGTGCTTAGGGTTTAGGGTGTAGGGGGTACGATGCACTCGACACGACCTTGTCGAAGGATGATATACTGTTGCCTACTAGCGCCATGGCATGGCAAACTCTTAACCTTCAACCCTTCACCCAGAGAACCCAATACCCTTTAGATAAGGAATATACCTTAGGGGCCTTAATATTATGGTTTAAGGTGTATTCCTTAATTAAAGGGTATTGGGCTCTCTGGGTAAGCCCTAAACCCGAAAATGCCAGAAGTTGCTCTAGCATGCTGGAGCTGCTTCTTGCGAGGAGGCCACGCTATGATTGGAAGATAACCGCAGTTTGCTGGAGTCGCTTCGCATGCTGTACAATACTCTAATATTGTCACTGGCAGAAGCATGTTCTTTTTGACCAGTTCGAAGTTAGAAATGGAGATGCGATGCGATTTGCCATGTACTCTCCAGTGCCCATGACGTTTCTTGCTGACTGTAGGGTCTACGATCCGATACGTTGCTCTTAGACTGTTGGTTGAAGACATGAGAGATGCTTACATGAGTTTCCTTCTGCATGCACCATGATGTGGAGCAGCCCGTATACGTTCCCATGAAGCCTCATCATGAAGCTCGTCAAGAAGCCCGTCAACACACATGTGAGCAGAGAGTAGACACCCTATGCAGCCATGCGGCCCTTGTGCCCTCAACAGACCTTTGAAACAGGCTTTGTTCGAGAAGCTGTAGGCACTTAACTGTAGAACCCCAAACCCCCACCCGTCGGTAGTTCCTTGTTTGCTTACAGTATGTTGTGGTTCTCCTCCCTTTCAGGATGGCGTTGTCCCTGCTTGGAACTCAGTGGCCTTTGCCTTCGAGCCCGGCATCGGTGCCAAGTCATGGTATATCAAAACATGTTAAAGTCTATGAGAGTCTATGATGGTTTACTGTAGTCCAGGAAGGTCTACTATAGTAGATTATAGCTCATTTCATGTCATGTCAGGTTTTTGCTGAGTTTTGCTGTTACGAGGAGGGTGTCAGAGTGGAGGTTTGAGGTTGGGGGCAAAGCCACCAGCAACACAGACCCGCTCCCTTGAGTATCATGACGATGATCCTATAAGTCCTATAAGCTGCTATATAGAGTACACTACAATCTACGATAGTATTGAGTGGTTTAGACAGAAATGACCTGTGGTTTCAGGCGTGGTTGGACCTCCGCTACCTCCAGGTGCGAGATCAGACGTGGAATAGGAAATTGCATAATTCACTGCGATGTAGTGTCGTTCTAGTATGTTTTGGTATGCTATATCAGAACTGCAGTATGTTGTAGTAGAATTTACTAGATCTTAGCTGATTCTGGTCGATCCCAGTTGACCCTCGTGGATTGTGGTAGACTGTCGTTTATCGTAGTATGCTATCGCATGGCATAGCATAATAACGGTTATATTCCTTTATATGCCTATCATGTTGAGATGTAACTTGTTCGGGCATCTTCCACCGGGCATGGAAGTGAGCGCTCCAATGCTGTGATTTCCAAGGGAGCCGTCTCACAAACGGCCCTTCATCTTGCAGCCGCTGAAAGCACCATGTTTGCTACTGGTACGTCTGGTATGTATGCTGGATTATGCAAAGCCGAAACTGGTGCAGGTTTGGGCTGGCGACATGCCGCTGGGCTATTTGAACAAGGTCTGGCGGTAGCCGTATCTCTCTATTTGCAGGGCTCCATGAGGAGGTTTCCGAAAATAGGGGACCCTAATATAGTACCCTAAATAATAGGATCCTTATTATAAGGACCCCCAAATAAGGTACCCTAATTTTCTGAAACTCCCATGAGGATATGGGCAGTTCGTGCATCCAGGTCTTCGGCGATGAGGTGCTGGGACGTGCTCGGGTGCTGCGCACTCTTCAGGTGGGCACTTGCATGCAAGGCCACACGGTTTAGGGTTTAGGGTTTAGGGTTTAGGGTTTAGGGTTCACAGAAGCAGAGACATCCTACTTCGATGCTGCCATTGATCTGACAAGGACGGTGCCGACGATCGAGGAGTACGTGAGGCCGGTCGATGCATCGCAACGCTGAGCGGTGCACTCGTGTCAGTGACAGGTACACATCCGAAATGCCTGGACTCTTGGGCCATAGCCGGATTGCATATCTTTTGCTGGACATTGGGCTTGCCAGCTGAGCTAAGGAGCAACCTGGTGTTCAAGGACCCTCTCTGCTCCGAAGGGAACGACCTCGTGGATCTGGGCTGGGCGTTGCATGGAATCGGCTACCGGCCCGGCTCTTGGAGCTCAAGCTACCACTCTGCACGGCGCTTACACGATACCCAGAGACTCCAAATATCCCTCAATTAAGGAATATACCTTAAATCATATTAAGGGCTCCTACTATGATTTAAGGAATATTCCTTAATTAAGGGATATTGGGGTCTCTGGGTACTTCGTGTCATAATCACAGTGTTTGCCAAGGGGGGCTCGGATCTCCCTGAGCCCGTACCCAGGAGCTTGGGTCTGCGAAGACAAAAAGCCTCGTACAGGAACCCAGAGACTCCAATATCCCTCAATTAAGGAATATTCCTTAAATCATAGTAGGATCCTTAATATGATTTAAGGTATATTCCTTTAAGGGATATTGGAGTCTCTGGGATCATGCTGTCCGCTAGTCCGACATGCTGCAACACGCCGCTGGGCAAACATGCCTGCTTGTTTGTCATGTTTCTGCTGACGGCCGCAGCTGTCAGCTTTCAGCCATCCCAGTGTGACCCGTCAAGTGGTCTTTCGGGCCCAGCCAGCCCTGCCGGTTGTCCAACATGATGGCGACGCGCCGGTCTCGAGGCCCAGAAAGCCCTCGTGTTTGATATGCTTGCGCAGGCCTCACGGCCAAGACAACTGCCGGAAGTTAGGGTTCCTGCTCATCCATGTGATGGCCACGCATGGTTACATCGCATCCTTCAGGACCTGTGTTCTGCCTGGTGTGCCTGCTTGCTTGGGGGCCTCTCTTCGTTACTCCATTCACTCCAGGAGCGTCGCTTCGATTGCGCATGTTCTGAGCCCGCAGTGCCTACAACCTTGACCAAGCTCGAGTGATCTCCAGTGAGGACTGAGACCCTCGCGCCAGGAGTCACGGCCGTCCTGGCTTGACTTGGGGGTTTCCAATAGGGGACCCTAATATAGTACCGTAAATAGTAGGATCCATATAATAAGGACCCCTAATAAGGTACCCCCTATTTTCGGAAACTCCCACTTGCTTGTCATGGCGTCAGGATGGCCCTCAGTGCAGAGCCCGCGCCTCCCAAGAAGCCTGGTTCCGCCTACATGTTGTGGTGCCTTTGCGTGAATGGGACTGTAGGCTGGGTGCTGTCATTCCGATCTTTCAAGAGCGTGCTCTTGCAATTCTCGTCGCTCGAACATTTTCGAGGATGCTGTAAGATGCGCTTCAGTATGGGCATGGATTCATCTTGCAGTTTTGTGCTCTGATGACCTGTTGGTTCGGAATACAACATTTTTCAGGCCCCTTACACGTGCTTTCGCTTGCAGGGTGGTTCGCAGAGCACATCGCCTGCAGGTTGAAAGAGAACCGGGCGCGCATCGCTGGATCTCTAGGAGAGGACGGCAAGAAGGCAAGACTGTGGAGCCCCACAGGATCTCCCAGGTGGGCAACCAGAGTAGAGCCCTGCAGGTGACGCTGGTCTCCAAGGCTGCTGGTGCAGAGTGGAAGACGCTGTCCGACAAGGCAGCTACTGGATTTTGTGGTTGCGATAGCAGCAGTCAGCCATATGCATGGGCTGAGGTCAAGAAGCCATTCGTGGACATGGCTGCCAAGCTTAAGGCAAGTGCAGGATGCCTGTATTTAACGGCGATAGACGCAAGCGTAGTGCCCAGAGACTCCAATATCCCTTAATTAAGGAATATACCTTAAAATCACATTCAGGATCCTACTATGATTTAAGGAATATTCCTTAATTAAGGAATATTGGAGTCTCTGGGTGCATGCCAGTCCAGACTAGGAGGTGCCAAGGAGTCGCATATTCCCTGCAGCTGACTTCACGCAGGCGGACTTCCTGGCTGAGAAGGAAGCCTTCGAAAAGCAAGGGGGTGTCATGCCAGCGAGGATGATCGGGTGTGTGAACGGCCGCAGAGCATTGCTGGCTCCTCTGACCTCATGCTTTCTTAGTCGCCGTTGCTTTAGTGTGGCCGCCCTGGGAGGAAAAGCAAAAAGGCTGCTGCAAAGGCTGCGAAGACGAAGGAGAATGACGAGTCAAGCGCATGTTTTTGTGATCAGAGCTTCAGCCCGCTGAAAATAGGTCAGTTATACAGCAGGACCCAAGTCTACCCAAGCGTCCCCACAACGCCTACATGCGGCTTGCCTGAAACTGCTACAGCTTTGCAGGCCTCGATGCTTGGTCCGTGAATCAGCTGCTACATTTCATTTGTCTACTGGCATTTGGTGGCTCAGGCTGTGGCTGCAAGACCACAGGAAGGAAATCACAGATGCGCTGGGGCCGGGGCACCAGCCAAAGCAGGCGAGACTGTTTGAGGTCGAAGGCTGTCAGGAGACTGGCCCCTTTTCGCTACTGCATACCTTGAGACAGGTGATGGTTGAAGCTGGGAAGAGGTGGAGAATGTGTTCGGATGCCGAGAAAGGCCCTTACGTGGCACAGGCATCTGAACTGAAGCAGGCTTACAACAAGCAGAGGCAAGGACATGTCAAACTTTAAACGGCCCAGTGCCTACTTGCCCAGAGACTCCAATATGCCTTAATTAAGGAATATCCCTTAAATTATAGTAGGATCCTTAGTATGATTTAAGGTATATTCCTTAATTTAAGGGATATTGGAGTTTCTGGGTGTCCTTTGGGTAGCCGTCGCCTGAACGGAAGGGGGTGTTGGGGTGCTCCCACCGATTCACGAGGCGTGTCAACTACCAGTTCCAAACCATAGTGACACGCCAGGCATCTTTCACAGGTAGACGTGCGCTGCAAGACGCGAAAGAGGGTGCGCTTGCAACTTTAAAGCCATCCTACGGTTTAGGGTTTAGGGTTTAGGTAGGGTTTAGGGTTTAGGGTTTAGGGTTTAGGGTTTAGGGTGCTGTTGCCGGCATGTCAATGTCCCAGAGACTCCAATATCCCTTAATTAAGGAAAAGACCTAAAATCATATTAAGGATCCTACTGAGAAAATATTCCTTAATTAAGGAATATTGGAGTCTCTGGGAAGAAGCATAAATTACTGCGCGGGAAGGCGTCTCGGCTCCAGTTGCACTCGGGTTCCTTGTGGAGCTTTGCTGGGCGGCCTCGTCCTGATCCTGAAGTTTTGCATCGAAATGTGCTCTGTGGTCTTCACTCCTGCATGGACAGGAGTAGACATGTACCAGTTTTTTGAATGTCCTTGCTGTCCACGCTGCTCATGTGCCTGTGCAGCCGCAGCGATC